CAGCATTGATGACAAAATAATGATTTCAAATATACTAAAGTACAGAGAAAGTAAAGGGTAATAATGTATCACTAAATGCCTTGACAAAGAATCTGTGGTATAAATCATACTGATTTATTTGCAATTTATCCGGATGTTATCATCAAACGTCATTCAGGACCAAAGGTGGTGATCCAATGCTCATAGAGCAAGTGATAAATCAAAGATTCAGGACAGAATCGGCCAAAAAATTGCCAAATTTTTCGAGAAGGCAATCATACAAAAGCTTTAATGAGTGTAGAAGTGCAAGGAAAAAATCATAATTATTGTAAGATTATTGCTGTCATTTTTTGGTCATCAAGCTTGCACAAGTCACTACCATAACTGTGAAAAAGGCTGTAGCCATATCTTATATCTTAGCTTGGATTCATGCTTATCATTCATGCAAGCAATGCTGACTACTTATTATTAATAACCGTAATGTAACAACGTAAAAACCCACAAATCTTGGCGAAAACATGCTCTCATATTCAACTGCTCAGGCAGCGATTAGATTGAACAGCAATGTATAATTAACAAGAAGCAAAATATAATCTATGAATAATCTCTGACTGAATGTGGAGTCAGGCAATTTACGCAACAACAATAAAAATATACAAGGCCTTACGCTGATTAGGAGTTTCAAATTCTTCTTGGTCTTCTTCAGTAGCCCTTTCATTTTCTGAATGCTCATCCGACCGTGAAATTCTGGCACTCTCTTCAACTTGGCTGTTAGCGTCGTCAAAATGTTTCGCATCGCTCTCAACTTCAGATTCGGCATTGCTGCCTCCAGAGTCACTGGCAGCCTTTAAGGAACTGCTTCTGCTGCTTGCAGACGACGACGTCAGCTTCGTTTTTTGGCTAGTCGTGAACTGACTGTTCTGCTCTTCGTTATTTTCATTTCCCTCCTCGTCGGAAGCGTTACTCGGCGTGTAAGACCGCAGCTGCGGCGAGAGTTCTATCGAACTAGACATAACACATCGCCATGAAACTTTCCTCAACACTCATTTAACAGTGTACTACTGTATCAAGTTGTGATTGATAAGTTACTATTGCATTGCTGACCGCACTTAAAATATGAATTTGAAAATTAATTATGGAAGCATACCACAGGTTGGTAAAGAGCTAATCCCAAATTTGCAAGATTCATATAAAAGCATCAGTTGTAAATGTAAGCAATTAAATCACCTGCCTCTTAGCAGTTCACAACAGAGTGACAGTCTGATTGTAATAACGACTGGTGCAGCTGACTACTCCAGACTCACATCCCGTTTGGCTCCTGCATCACGTTCGATTACCATATAGTCGTAACTGAACTTCATACATTAGCCGTGTCTAATCGATGTTTTCTAATCAAAATACCTAAGCTTCTAGACGTTTACAAAATAAATCATTACGAATTGCCCCCACTCCCGGTCTTCCCATTATAAGGACGTATGAAGTAGGATTATAGTGCTCAATCCAGGAATTGACAAGTCGGTGATGTTTCGAAAGAAGGCGTCATTATATCTGCTGTAAACGTAGCTTTAGTCAGAAAGAGAATGTCTAAACTGGTCTGGATTATACAAAAAAC